AGTTGGCAACCTCCCCTGCGTACCTATCCATCTTTTTATTTTTATTTTTATTTTTATTTTTTCTTTAACAGATTAAATATTCCTTTGGGTCCATTATAGATATTTTGTCCAAACAATCATTCACGATTCTCAAACGTTTCATTGGTTTTTACTTTTTTAATTATTATACAATAATTAAGTATAAAAATGTACGGTAAAAACTAGCTATATAGGATCCAAATTCAAGATGGGAATTCTCTTCAAAGTTCAAAGTATGAAACTGTATAATATTTAATTTATAATTTTTTAAAAAGTTGTCATGCATGACAACATTATTGGTATCGGAAATGGATACCCTCTGCTCAATCATTTCTGGAGGAGATCTTAATTATTAATTGTTGAATTCATTAGTTTATCTATTTAAAGAACATTCTTTTATTAAATTAGTTAATTTATTAATAATTAAAAGTAAAAATTAAAACAATTACAGTAAGAGAAAATACACTTTACAAATTGTTCTCAATTAAATTTAATCTTGAAAAATATGCGGGACTTGTTGTAAAAAAAATTATTTCATTAAATGTTCTACTTTTCAAGTAAAGTATTATCATTTATAATATAAAATTATTTTTATTATTATTTAAAAATTTATTTTAAGTTGATAAATTAATACTTTGAAAACACGAATACGTAAATATAATTAATGTCTGTTCAGGTCACCCATGATTCTTAAATTATTATAATGACCATACCACTTATTTGACGATGGCCACGCAGCAACAGCAAAAATCAGTGTGTTAAAAATAGAGCATTACGAACTGTGTTATTAGGGTGAATTTTTTTTATATAATTTAATTAAGATTGTACTAATAGAATTTAAATAATAATTTGTATAATAAATTAAATTATAAACTTTGCTGAAATAAATTAAAAGCATAATATTTATTAAAATTAGCTAGAAATAACCTGCTGTTCTTGAAGCTCAACTATAAGTTACGCACACTTAGATAGATATATGTTGTATTATGACTAGCAAATATCCTACGTAATGTTCAGTTACTTTTATAAAAAAGTCAAATATTTAAAAAACACCAATTTAATTTAATTAGAGTTATTCGAACGACCATAACACCAATCAAAATGTCAAAACATAGACACTTAAGTTTTGCAAATATGAAATATCAATTTAAATATTAAATTGTCTGGATAAAATTGTAAATATCTTATTACAATTAATACGAAATGAATAAATCAAAGTATTAATCAATTCTTTGAAATACTAATAACTTTTAATTGAACGGTAAATTAAGAAAATTATTATATTGATTTGCTTTAATTTAATATAAAAACTTCAAATATATGTCAAAATAATAATAAAAATACACTTTTATGAAAATAAAAAAATTATATAGTTTTATAACATCCAAAATTAAGACTCGATTTTAATAAGCAGGATCCTCATAAAATACAGAACAAGGAAAGAAACGTGGGAGCAAATTAAAATTGCCACAGACACATGGAAAAATACTCAACGAACAAAATTTAATGTCATAGTGTGTTAACATCATACCACGTGAATAAACAACTCTCGATTATTAAAATTATGCAATAATTCAAATTTTAACAAAAATTTGAGTCAAACGTTATATTAGAGGATAGTCTGCACAGCATAGGGGTAATTTAATTATAAAAAATGTCTTTTTAAAAAAATGAATTTAATACATTGTAATTTGTTTTTTTTTATCCTCAGAATATCATTTAATATAATGAAATTTTATATTTACTATAACAATAAAAAAAATATTTTCAAGTACATTGTTCTTGTTGTATTTAATATTAGAAATTATATTGTTCACTTTTTAAAAATAAAACATTTATTCAACGTATAAGTAACTTAATAGTAGGAGTGTTTACCACGCGTTTTACTAAGCAACTTAGTTCAAAGTAAATATATTTTGAGAATGTAATCCCGTTATACTTTTTGTTTGTTTGTTATTGTATAACCTGAGTCGATATCCTATAGATTACTTTGTTTGGAAAATTTTTTTTATAAAACAAAATACTATATTATTTTTTATTTTAATATATGTATTCTTTTTATGGTTTAACATATATTGTATCAAAATTAAAATTTAGCATTAACAAATTGATTTAGTCTTATCTCATGAGTTATCAAATCTTAATCACTGTGGTCCAAATATATAATATTCTTAGATTTTCATGAGAAATAAAAAAAAAAAACTTATATTGACACGTTTCATAAATATTTGTACATTTTTTAAACGTTTTTTTAACCTTTTTTACTATTAATTAAAATTAATTCAAAATTTTAAGTTTAATTTAAATATGATAATAATATAAATATTTATTTACACTATAAATTAATAATGTATACAATAGTTAATATAAACATTATATTTACGATATATTATAGTTAATTGATAAAATAAAATTTTTTACAGTACATAAAAATTAAATTCTTACAATCATATTAAACATATTTTTTATTTAATAAATATTACTTGCATTTTTATAATTTTTAATAAATATTTTCGTTCATATTTAGTACTTCCTCTTGTCTAAGATTAAATGTTGTTTATATCCTTTTTATCTATTTCAATTGTTTTATTTGAGTATAAACAAATTAATTACCTTTTTTAAAATAATATACATATTTTATATGAATACTTATCAATTAATTATTGTATTATCTCCAATATTATTATTTTTATCAATTATCAGTATTTTTAATAAAATTTTTAATGAATTTAAGTTATTCTATTATAATAATTAATAAAATTAATAATTTTTAAAGGCTTATTTATTTTTTTAATATTTAAAAAAAAATCTTAAAATAATGTTTTTTAAAAACATATTCCCTGTCTGAGGTCTTTTTGCTACGTTAAGACCTGTTTCGCATATTGTCTTGACGAAATATATTTTTTTATTATTTTTTAAATATTATTTCATCTTCAGTAAAGATGAAACTATCAGACTGCGTCAGGTGTTATCATCTGATGAATTTTGCCTACTGCAGAGATGAAACTCAAAAAATGGTGTCATATGTCATGATTTGGATTAATTCCTAATAAGTTAATTAAAAATTATATAATTTTTTTATTCTTAAATTTTATATTTTTAATAAATTTTAATTAAATATTAAAATATAATTTTTTTAACCACTTTCATAAATTGATCCAAATCATGACACATGACACCATTTTTTGAGTTTGGTCTATGCAGTAAGCAAAACTCATGCCACATGGCGCAGTCTAATAGTTTTGTCTTTATTAAAGATGAAATAACATTTAAAAAATAAAAAAAATATATTTCGTCAAGACAGCATGCAAAACAGTTTTTGACGTGGCAAAAAAGACTTCAAAAAATTTGTTTTTAGAAAATATTATTTTAAGAATTTGTTTTTTAAAAAATATTAAAAAAATAAATAAGCCATTTTTGAAAGATGTACACATAATATTAAATAAAATTTAAAATAAAAGAGAATAACTATTATACATGAGCACGTGGAAAAGGTGGGCAAAGCCAGTACACCAGTTTCCAAACAAATTATTCCCCCTATGAATTGCTTGAACGGTCCTGTTAAAATAGACTCTCCCGTATATTTTACATTCTATAGTTCGAATAAGACGTATTATTGCATGCAAGAAAAAAAGCCAAATGTTTTTATTTTTTAAAATAATTTTACTGTTATAGTATATATGTTATAAGATATTGATCATATAATTATACATAAACAATTGAAAAGTTTTATATAAATATCATACGATTTAATAGTTTAATTTTAATTATTCATAATGTTTTATTTTACCTGAGATAAATAGGTAGATAGAATGACAAATAGATAAAAAAAAAACCCCAAAATTCATCTCATATATCATGTTTACTTGTTCCGCATATTCTCATATTTAGCAGCAATTAATATACTTTTTGGTTCAACATTAGCTTTTAAAAATATATTTTAAGTATCTGAGAGTATAAGGATCCGTTAAATATATTTTTATTATTATAGAATATTTTTATATAATGCAAGTATAAAATCTATACCACAAATTAATTAATTCGTATCCTTTTACTTATTTAAATAAGTGATTGAAAAATTTTCAATATTTATTTATTTTACTTAAATAACATATATTTTAAATTTTGTTCTATTTTATCCTTCATTTAAATACACGTTAACGGTATATTTATACTATTTAATAGGTATAAAAGTGAGTTTATTTTTTAAAATTTACATGGTAAAAACATTTTTTTTTCTTTGAGCAATGAAATTGTTATAAAATGAACAATATTTATGGTTTTCTACAGATAGATCTCAAAATCAGTCTTAGTATCCCGGATTTAAATGAGCCAGACCCTTTCATTTTGTAAAACAATTGAATCTCGAACAATGCAGATTTTGTCGGGGATAAAATACTCAATTTCTCTCGATACATTCACATGTTGTTTTCCCCCGGATAAAATATCTCTCAACTGGTGATTATAAATTGTTATAGTGTGAAAAACGGGAACAACGCTAAAATTAAACTAAAGAATTTGTAATCGAAGCATAAATTAAGAAAAGAACCTGGAAAAAATCGTAAATATGTAAATAAAAACAAATGTCATTAAAAAGTAAATAAAATTGATAATAATAAATGATGTTAAGAAAAGTCAAGTTTTGAACGGTAAGAAAAAGAAATAAAACTTGTTGTTAGGGGTAGTAAAGGAGGGAATGAGACGAGGACGTGTCAGAATGGAAGGGGGATGGCAATCACACCGCACAGGGAAACTTCGTAGCGGTTTCGTGAAACAAAATGTCAGGTAAAGTTATCGCGATATTTACACCGCAGAATCCCAGGGGAAGCGGAAGGGCGATAAGTAAAAGAGAAGGCGATAAAATGAAAGAGAAGGCGATATAGTATGACTAAAACAAAAGGAAGGGGGGCCCGCAGCAATGAAGCCACGCGGCAACTCGTCGCTGATTAATTGTCTTGAAGGGTTATGAAACTGATAAAAACACGAGAATTTGAATAGAGTGATATGTTCCGTTGGGAGTGGAGGATCCGGGTCCAGGGCCCAACTAAGCGCCCTCCCTCTTCCTTTCCTATATAAATTCCCCTCCCCACCCATGCAATTCTCGCTCACTTCCACCTTTCGTGACACATTTTCTCTTCCAATCACGCACCCTCTGTTCCCCCCCTTTTTTCTTTCCGTTAATTGCTCCTCCTCTTTCTGCATTCCTTCCAATTCTCTCTATTTTATTTTAATCATCCGAAACGTGTGCTTGATTCCTTGGTTCCATTTGTCGTTATTCCCATCTCCATAGCCACCGCGCCTAAATCCTTCTTCTGAGGGTGTAGGTGTGGGTATTGAGGGAGAGAGAGAGAGAGAAACAGCCTTCCCCGTTTTCAATACATCTTTCTCTGTCTTCTTTTGGGGGAGTAGCCGGGGCCTCGGCCTCGGCGGGTTTCAAAGCTCCCACCTTTACATCGAGAAAATAAAACCCTAACCCTTATTTTTCATTTTTCTTTTTTTTCTTTTTTATTCCTTTGCGGAAGAGATGCCCGCCTTAGCTTGTTGCGTTGATGCTGCGGCAGCACTTGCTCCTCCAGGCTATGCTCTCGCCGGGGACATTTCTCTTCCGCCGCCGGTCACATTTCCCGGCGTCACTACCGACGAGAACTCCCTCTGGTCCCCCTCTCTGTCTTCCAGCCTATACAGGATCGACCGCTGGGGCCCTCCCTACTTCGCTGTTAACCCCGACGGCGACATCTCCGTCCGGCCCCACGGTTTGGGGACTCTGCCTCACCAGGAGATTGATCTGTTGAAAGTGGTGAAGAAGGCTTCGGACCCCAAATGCTGTGGCGGACTCGGGTTGCAGCTTCCGCTTCTCGTTCGTTTCCCTGACATTCTGAAACACCGCTTGGAGTCCCTTCAGAGCGCTTTCAACTGCGCCATCCGATCGCAGGGGTACGAGTCTCATTACCAGGGTGTTTACCCCGTGAAGTGCAACCAGGACCGGTTCATCGTGGAGGACATAGTTGAGTTCGGGTCTCCGTTCCGGTTCGGGTTGGAGTCAGGTTCGAAACCCGAACTGCTTCTTGCTATGAGCTGTTTGTGCAAAGGCAACAGAGAGGCCCTTCTGATTTGCAACGGTTTTAAAGACAGCGAGTATATTTCTCTTGCTCTGGTTGCCAGAAAACTCGCTTTGAACACCGTCATCGTTCTGGAGGAGGAAGAAGAGCTGGATATGGTAATTGATATCAGCTCCAAACTGTGCATTCGTCCCGTGATTGGCGTTCGCGCGAAGCTGAGGACCAAACATTCTGGCCACTTTGGATCAACTTCAGGGGACAAAGGCAAGTTCGGATTGACCACTTCTCAGATTCTGCGCATTGTGAAGAAGCTTGAACAAGTGGACATGCTCGATTGCCTACAGCTTCTGCATTTCCACATTGGCTCTCAGATTCCCTCCACCGCATTGCTCGCCGACGGCGTAGGAGAAGCTGCACAGATCTATTGTGAACTTATTCGTTTGGGTGCACAGATGCGAGTGATTGATATTGGCGGTGGTTTGGGCATAGACTACGATGGATCCAAATCCAGCGATTCTGATATCTCTGTTGCTTACGGTCTCGAAGAGTATGCTGCAGCTGTTGTTCACGCAGTGAAGTATGTCTGCGATAGCAGGAACATGAATCATCCTGTGATTTGCAGCGAGAGTGGGAGAGCCATCGTGTCTCATCACTCTGTACTTGTTTTTGAGGCCATTGGCGCTAGAAAATATGGAACTCCTGCATTGTCTTCCTTAGGATTACAGTATCTGGGAGAAGGACTCTCGGAAGATGCTCGCGTGGATTACCAGAATATATCAGCAGCTACTATTCGAGGTGAGTACGAAACTTGCTTGCTCTACACGGATCAGTTCAAGGAACGGTGCGTTGAACAGTTCAAGCATGGGACTCTGGGGATGGAACAGCTCGCAGCAGTGGATGGTTTGTGTGAGCTGATAAAGAATGCAATAGGGGCGAAGGATCCAGTGCAGACGTACTACGTGAATCTCTCGGTGTTCACTTCTGTTCCTGATTTCTGGGGCTTCCAGCAATTGTTTCCAATAGTTCCGATTCACCGTCTGGAGGAGAGGCCAACGGCGAGGGGGGTTCTGTCGGACTTGACATGTGACAGTGATGGGAGGATAGACAAGTTCATAGGAGAAGAGTCGAGCTTGCCCCTGCATGAATTGGAAGGCAGGGGAAAGTACTATTTGGGAATGTTCTTGGGCGGGGCTTATGAGGAGGCGCTTGGCGGTGTCCACAACCTCTTTGGTGGGCCCAGCGTTGTTAGGGTGTTGCAGAGTGACGGCCCGCACGGGTTCGCTGTGACACGTGCAGTGTCAGGGCCCTCTTGTGGGGATGTTCTCCGAGTGATGCAGCACCAGCCGGAGGTGATGTTTGAGACGCTGAAGCACAGGGCACAAGAACAAGAGGAGGTTGAGAAGGGTGCGCTTAATGCAACTGTGCTGGCTAATAGCCTTGCGCGCTCCTTCGACAACATGCCTTACCTTGTTACCTCCTCTTCTTGTTGCTTGAATGCCGTTAATAACAATGGATTTTACTACTGCTCCGGTGATGATTTTAACGCCGACTCTGCTGCTGCCGGAGAAGAGGAGCAGTGGTCCTATTGCTGTGCTTGATTTGGTTGTGTTTCAAACTATCCTTTTTCTTACCATTCTCTTTCGTTGTTTTTTTGTTTAGTAAGGGATGTAAGAAGCAGGACGGAGAGAATCCTCTGCCTTTTGTTTTTGCATTCTCCCCCAATCCCCATCTTGAATCGCACTCTTCTTCGTTTCTGCCCTGTAGCTTTTCATGTTCCTAGTGTAACCAATTTTTATTGTGTTTAGAATAAAAAGTTAACGTTGTTGGCAGAATTTTGTTTTTTATTTTTTCTCCCTTCTGTTGGTTTTGTTTCCTTTTCTTTCTCCCCTTTAAAATTATCTTCCCAGGCTAAATGGTGTAATACTAAATTACTCATGATACGTAATTAGTTAAAACTTTCTCTTATTAATTTCTTAATGTATTTTTAAACGTAACCTTGGTAGGGCCATCGTTAGGGGTTGTAGTTGATTACTTGATTATTTGTATGCAGTGTGTAAAGGCAAAAGCAGTCATAACACAATCCTATGAGAGAATTCTTCTTAGTTGACGTAAACTTTTTTAAAAAAAATATCGGTGAGTTTTATTAATTGTAGTTATTATTATTTTTTCATTTGTTTCAAAATAATTATTCTTTAATATGCTGTATTGGAATTTAATTTAAAATTTTAGAACAGTATTACATGTCATGAAGTCACCTTTTTAGCGTGTTAATTCAATACTCTTCCATTTCACGTAAATGAAATTGGAAGACACATAAAATTAGATGATAAATATATTTTCTAAGGCGATAGATGATTAGAGAGAGTAATATTTTAAAATGAAGAGTATTCGTTGATAACATGATTTCATTAAAACTATTTTTTGGTCAGTATCGTAACATGCTCTTAAAATTAGTTGGTACGAGTAAAATGGATTTAGCTCTTTTGACGAAAAAGAATGTATAAAATATAAAATAAGGCCAATTTAGTATTACATTGGATTGAATTTTTTTTTTTGTAAATATAATTGATTTTAAATTAGTAAAAAATAAAACAAAATTTTAAGTAAAATATATGATAATATATTAATTTTTGATAAATTATTATTTTAAATGGTGAAATTTAATTTTAACAGATAAGTATAACAAAACTTGAAAATATATTTGAAATTGTATTAATATGCGATCATTACTTGGACTCAATGGAAGAGATTCCTGAAAAATTGAAATTAAAAAAGAAAAAGAAAGAGGATACGCAATGTGTCATATTCTTGATGGGTAACTTAGTGGCGGCACCTCTTGAAATTTGGACGGGGATTCTTTGCGCGTAAGTTGGGTGTGTTGACCACAATTTTGTGGTCTTCCTCTGTGACATTTTGTGGTCTTTGATAAGATGCTGACTCAATTCATTTTATTTCTGGAATAGAAGATGCGCGTAATGTTCGTTGCGCAACTAGACTCAGGCAAGTGCGCTGACAAGAATCTTTCGATTTATTTGCGTTTGCACTTACCGAATCAACTCACTCTATGCTTATTGAATGAAATTCAAAAAGAAAACAATCAACCGTGAAAACAACTTTACGGATAATAAATAGTTTCATATCTTTATAAATATGTTATTAAATTTTTAAAAACATGTTGAGAGGTAAAAACTATTCTGTGTTGAGAAGCAAAACTCATATCGATAATATTTATTTATAAAACGGATTGGCCTCTCACTAAAATTGAATATCCTCAGTAAACAAGAGTTTGCGACAAAAATTAAAAGGATTTGGTTCTTTTTGAGCAAGGCATGTTGCCACCATCTTAGGAAATAAAGAACAATAAATGTTAGCGTAAGTTACGGGAAAAAATAATAATTAACCTGTGATAAGATTAGAGTGCGTGAACAGCCTAGTCCAAAGTTTGTGCTTATTGGGAAGTGGAATATCCATCCAGAAAAAGCATTCCAAGTCTCTTTCACGCTCTTAGTCCCCTTCGTTCCTAACTTCGTTTTCTCGTAACGGCACAGCTTACAGGCATCATCAACTCAACGAGAATGTTCAAGATTTGGAAGGAACATTTTATTATTTCATTAGCTTTAGCATAGAATACCTGTCGAATTAGCATCGAAAGAATGAGATCTGATCCTGCATCCTCATCATGATTTGGAAGGTGAACAACAACTTTAGTGAAAGCATTGAATCAGCAAAATAAAGTAAAACGGACAATAACTTTAATGTCAATATGTGTTTGTTCTAGGCAATTAGACGGTTAATTCACTTTCTATCATCCACTAAAGCTGTGCTTGAATATTCTGTACGATATTCATGGTTCTATCGTTATTGTGTTTACACTTGATGACATTTGTAGTATCGCATATTTAGGGGCTTTAAAAAGTATTGCCGGTTTAGGAGGCATAGTTCAACTTTGATTGCAAACTTTAAACCATTCCATTGCCAATTTGTGGCGTTAGTGGGGAACTTGATAGAACAATTGCAGTTCTACGGTGTCCACTTTTGTGGATTTCTCAGATTCATCGTGCGATAATACTATATGCAACTAACCTTTTCCTAAATTCCATATTCGGTGGGAATGTTTTAATTTGAATCAACTCCTGTGTTAGATTTTCATATTGTAAAAAAATTAAAATAAACATTTTTCACAAAATTATAAATTTTGTTGAAATTTTATTAAAATCGGGACTTAATATCTTTCGCCTATCATTTTAGAAGCCAAAATTAATGCTCCCCTCAAATATAAACTCACATTTACTCCGGTGGGACATTTGTTGCATAATGAGGTGTTTTAAGGTGGATTCCTCTGTCGGCATAAACTATAGCCTACAGTTTAAATTTATTTAAGTAAATTTTGTTTCACTTAAATGAATTTGACAAAAGATGATTTTTACTTAAGCTAAAATTATAAAAAAATATTTTTTTAAATTATAAAAAAATTGAGAAATATTTATGTAACATCACGTAGTCACGCTTTGTATTCATGTAACAAAAACTTAAAGGTTTTAGAATATGTAATATTGCAACTATTTTTTAAAAATAATTTTAAAGTCATTATTTTTATAATTTTTATTATCATTCTCGATAATTTAACTCAATTTCAAATGATTCTATTTTATTTATGTTTAGTATAAGTATCCCACTAAATAATATATTTAGAATATTTTGTGGAATGATATATGCAAAGGTCTTTGATAAATAGGTAGTTATTAATGAGAAACAAAAATTTCTCAAATTTTATATAGTTTATAGAGGAAGAAGATAAAGTTTTAAATTTTTTTACAATTTTAACTTAAGCAAAAATAACTTTTTTCTCAAATTTGCTTAAACAAATGCAGACAAATTGCAGTTTTTGCCAAAATTGTAGAGAATCCAAATCTTATTAAGGTACAATAACTGTGATGAGTGTGTCTTTTGCTCGAATAAAACTATTAAGGATGTTTGAAACATTAGTTTATGCTAGTAAATATTATCTCATTTGATTTTTTTTAATCTATCATTATTTTTTTTTAAAATAATTTTTTGTTTGTCATTTCACAAATTATTTATTTATTGTTTGCTATTAAAGGGACTTAAAAGCTCAAATATAAAACAAACACATAGGTTAACAACCTAAACCAAAAAAATACTTTGAGTATCAGGCCTTAATAGAAGCTTTAAGGAGAGAGAGTTCGATAAAAAATAAAGGAAAGCATTCCAACCTTATACCTAAACTTAGCTAATCAATCAACATATTGATTAGTTTCTCTTAAAATATGGTTGAACCTAACAAACTTAATTTTCTTAAAAAGGTGCATAATCTTATCAATGATACAAGATAATGGATGTTTGCAACCTTAGACATTAGTAACTAAGGATGTAATTTTTTTAGAATCACACTCAACCCATATTACATTTATTATTTCTCATTGTACATTTATACTTTTACTCTTTATAAACTAATAAATAAAAAATTTGAATAATTAATTAAAGATAAAAATAGAAATTATATAATAATTGCTGTAGAAAATAAAATGTTATTTTGTTCAAACTGTATAAAATAACCTTAACTAACGCGTAAAAAGAAAAGGAGAGTATATACACTCAATCATTCATAAAAAAAATATAAAAGCATTAAATTTTTTTATCAATAGTTTTTTATTATATAATGAAAATAAATGAAAGTTTTACAATTATTACCGAGTAAACACAAGATCTTTTTAATGTCATTTCAGTAATTTTAATAATAAAAACTATAAAGACTTATTTACAATCTCAATAAAATTACAAGGACCAGTAAATAATTTTTAAAATTCACAATTTTTAATGTCATTTCAATAATTTTTATAATCAAAATAATAACCCAAATTGACGTATAACAATTTTTGTTTGGGTCCAATATGGAGTTGAAAATTGAAACTGGACCAGGAGCCCTGGAGGGAGGCTTTCACAACTGGGATATGCTGTCTCTTCGGGCGTTATCGGGTGGGCTGGACCGATTGGGCCTACTTTTTTGCATCTAAAAATAAGACCCAATAGCTTATTACTAAATGCTTTACGAAAAAGGGCGTGTTCAAAAAACAAAAAAAACGCAAGGATATAGAAAAAAAGGCTTTTGAGAAGGAAAAAAGTTTGCACAGTAGCGTTGTTTTTCTAGCAAATCAAGTTTCAGAGATTACTTTTTACACTCCGTTTTTTTACTTTTAACACCACTCTTAATATTTTTTAACTATTTTTTCTAAATTTATCCTTCATTAACATTTTAAAACAATCATTTTTTATTTAATTTTTTCAAACTTTTCTCTAATCATTTACTTTCATGATCTTTCTGCACGTTGTCATATTTGTTGCATTTCTAAATACTCTTCTTCATCTTGCAGTGAAACATAAATTGGGTAGTGTTATGGGCGTAAAATCATAGCCAAATTATGAATCCTTCAAGCGATAAAACTGCAGCAATTCCTATTATCAATCCCTTAATTTTTGGAAAAACAAAAAATCATGAAAAGAGAACAGATCACATAATTATGAAAAGAAAATTCACAACAATAAACAGTTCAACACCCAATAAGCTGTAAGGCAACGTAGAGAAAAGGGACAGTTTTGTGAAAAAAAAAAAAAAGATTAAGAGAATATTTGAGAGGGAGAAAGTTTTGGGAGAGAAGGGAACGGAGGACATAATTTTAAATTATAAATTAAAATAATTATATATTACTTAGGATGATAAATGAATGATTAATATATTAAGTTTATGCTTATATATTAATTTATATATTTTATTTTAAATAAATATTAATTTTAAATATATTTAAAA